CCCCAGTTTGGCCCCCGCCCCGCCCACTCTGTCCCCCGGCAGTCGCCAGCCCCGAAGCACTTCCCCGGGCCACCAGCTCCAAAAGCTCCTCCCCTCCCCAAGGCTCCTCACCACCATCTGGTAGATGGCGTCCACGATATCCAGCATCTCGTTCCTGGTGATGTAGCCGTCGTTGTCCAAGTCATACAGCTTGAAAGCCCCTGCCGTCAAGCAGCCGGGCTGAGCGACCGGCAGGGGGCAGTGGCGGGCACCGCAGCCCAGCGACGGACGCGCATGCGCCCACACCACTGGGACCAGCGCTAACGTTACATTCAAGAAAATAAGCGGCGTGTGGTGCGAGGTACAAGGGGGGCCCGGGACCTGGCCTCAGAGAGGCATTGGGGGTTTCACCACCAGCCCTTAGGGCGGGAACCCCTTAGATCCCTGATGCCACCCTTGTCGTCCTCCCCCAGCTTCGGGGCCCCAGCGCCTCCACGGCCAGGCTCCATCTGCACCCACTGCAACGGCATCTGGTGCCTCCGCCTCCCCGCAAGGGCCCAGGGCCGCCTCCCTCTGGGTGAACCACCTTCCTGCTGCCCACCCAGGCCTCGGACGGGGCCAGCACTTACACCGCAGCTTCTCATCCAGGGTTCCCCGAGAGGTCACCGACAGCGCCTGGATGAACTCGGAGAACTCGATCCTCCCGTCCTGAGAGGACAGAGAGGGTCAGCGCAGACCCTGGAAGGACGTGACAGCCGGCAGCAGGCACGAGACACCCGTGGCCGATGGGCAAAGTGAAGGGTGGAGGGACAGGAGCGGAGGGCAGGCGGGCGGCCTGGAGCACCAGTCCGAGCCTCAGTTTTCTCTCCACAAAAAAGGGAGAATTAGAAGTATCTGCCCTGGCTGGGCATGGTGATGCACACCTGTCATCCCAGTAGTCTGGGAGGCTGAGGCAGGAGGATTGCAAGTTCGAACCCAGCTTGAAGAAATTGGAGACTTAGTGAAACCTTGACTCATTTTTAAAAATGGGCTGGGGACGTGGCTCGCTGCAAGGACCCTGGGTTCAACTGAGTGCCAGGACGTCAAAAAACCCTACCCCACAGGTGTTGGCAAGGCCCCACTAATCATAACCCACACTGAGGCCTGGTCAGATAGTCAATGTTCAGCAAAAGCCAGTAATGATGGTTAAGGCTGTTACTGACCCAGGAAGGATTTGCCCTTCGTGCTTACAGGAAAATTCAGTGTTTATATGCTTGTACATATGTGTGCATGCGTGTGTAGACTGTGCACGTGTGTACATGCCTGTATGTACCTCTGTGCACGTGTACACGAGTCTTCCCGTACACCTGCCTGTGAGCACACGTTGTGTCCGCCCGTGCGCATGTGCAGGGTGTCCCTGCCTGCCTCTTGCGCTCGCAGCTGTAGGCCTTCGTGGCTACGCACGTGCGCATGCGCGTTGTTCCTAGAGACGCTGTGGGGCGGGGCCGTCACAGGATGGGGCGTTCAGTCGGCCCAGGCCTAGGTCCACGCCCCACTCGGCTCACCTTGTTCTCATCGAAGACGTTGAAGACGAACGTGGCGAACTTGGTGGGATCCCCAAACGGGAAGAACTGCTTGTAGATCTTCTGGAAGCCAGCGGCGTCCAGCTGCCCGCTGGGACAGTCCTTGATGAAGCCCTTATACCTGGACAGGGGCAGGGACGGGGTGAGAGGGGCCCCGCGTCACCCACTGTGGGGAGCGCCTGCCCAGGGCCCAGATCTGCGAATCCCGGCCCAGCGTGACCCCAGTGACAGTGTCACACACACCGCAGGCGTGCGCCCATCCCTGTGTCCCCGGACAAGTGAGACCACCTCTCTGAGCCTCCTCAGCCTCCTGTGCATAGGGACGGGGCAAGAGGCAGCGTGGAGTCTGCAGATACCATGCCCAGAGCGCTGCTCCGCTCCTGCCCCAAAGCCACCGGACAAGTCCTTCCCCAATGGGGATCCAGGGGCCCTGCCCTTGTCAGCACCCAGTGTGACCTCCACCCAGGGTCGAGGCAGGGAACTTGGCAAATCTTACTCTCCGGATGACCTCGACAGCCCCAAGGTACTACCAGAAAGCCCATTTTAAAGATGGGGAAACAGGCTCAGAGAGCGGAAGTCATTCCAAAGTCCCCATGGCCCGGGCTGCATCAGAGGTGGGGGCGGAAGGTGGACAATGAAGGGACCCAATGGACAGAGGAGCGAATGACTCTGTACCACCAGGTATGACCCGCAGGGAGATTCCACTCATCCCGCCATCCCTGGAGGAGAGGACTGTGGGAGAATCCTCCCAGACTGCAGGGACCAGGATGGACGGAGACACACAGGCCGCTGAGGGGACAGACGGGCCTGTGATGGAGGCCAAATGTCCAAAGGAGGCAGGCCCCGGGCAGTGCCTGTGGGGCCCCTGGAGCAGGCTGGGGACAGCCCGGTGCCAGCTCTGCGCTCAGCTATCCACACACGTACTGGTTCTGTTGCCACCTCAGCTCACAACAGGGGCCCAACAATGCGACAGATGAGGACCCTGAGGCTCAGAGCTGGCAGCTATCAGCCTGAGGCCCCGGTCCGCCCCAGGTGTCCTCTCCAGCTGACCCGGGACCCCTAGGGTGTGTCCTGGCAGGACCTCAGGTCTACTGGCCTCTTACCAGTCACCCAGGCTGCTCCAGCCCCCAAGCCAGAGGACACAGAGCAGGGCAGAGCCCCAGGACAACAGCACCAGGCGATGTGGCTCCAACCCCTCCAAAGCAGGAGGAAGGGACTCAGCCCCTTGAGCTCCTCCCCTTGAAGCTGCCTCCTTGACTGCCTTTGTGGGGGCTAGGAGCAGAGTTGAGGAACAAGACCTGGTCCATGACCCCAGGGTGCCTGGCCACGATGGACCCCTGGGCAGGGGGAGGGACATGGTCAGTGCCAGGACTCCACCAGACCTGGAGGCCTGTTTTTGAAACTGGGTCTCACTGTGTAGCCCGAGCTGGCCTTAAACTCTCAGTGATCCTCCTGCCTCAGCCTCCTAAGTGCAGGGATGACGGTGTGCGCCACCACGCCTGGCTCCTTCTAACCTCTGGGCCATTGTGGTTTGCCTTACTTTCGGGATCCTAAAAGGCAATTAAAACATGCAGATAAAAGGAGCCGAGCAGCGGCTCCCAGGTCCTGCAGCCGCCTCAGAAGTCTCCCAGAAGGGAAGGCCCAGCTTCTGAGCCGCTTTCAAGGGCTGGCAGTGGGGGTGGCCTGGGGAGCCTGCGGAGGCTGCCGCTGTGGCACCAGCTCCAGCAGGGCCCACGAGACCCTCCTGCCACCCCCACAGTCCCCAGGCTCCTACCGCCCCACGGCCAGCCTGCCCGGCCCCGCTGCGGAAGGTTCCTGCTCGCTCAGCTGTGTCTTCAAATTCCTCATCTCCTAAATGGAAGGTCCTGGTCCTGCCTCAGCGAGCAGCCTGCCCACTGGTGACGCCCCACCCTACCATCTCCCCTGTCTCTCCCCCTTTTTGTGCTACTAGGGATCAAATCCAGGGGCTTCACAGTAAGCTACATGCCCAGCCCCTTATTTTTTATTTTGGGATAAGCTCTCCATAAATTGCCCAGGCTGCACCTTCCTGCCTCAGCCTCTCAGAGTGCAGGATGACAGGCATGTGCCTCCTAGCCTGGTTCTTCTTGGCAATTTCCAGTCCACGAACCCCTACCCTGCTCAATGCCCTCTGGTCCGGTGGCCCTGGAAGTTTGAGCCCGGTATCTGTCCCCCGTTGTGAGCACCTTGACACCCACGCAGCTGACCTGAACAGACCCTCCACCATTTGAACATGGGTCCAAACCACGTCCTAACCTAAGCCTCTGAGGAGGGGACCCCAATGCAGCAGCTGCTCCCTCAGGGGGCTATCCAGGCCCCCCGGGTGTCCTCTGTGCCCAGAAGAGGCCACACTGTATCATGTTCACTGCCAGGCTGTGCCCTCCCCTGGAATCCGAGCTCCTGGATGCCCAGGGCCAGGGTGCCCCACAGGTGGCCTGCAGGATGTGGTCCCAGAAAATGAAATCACACAAACCACCGGGCAGGGCAGAGAAAGCCGGGGCCCAGCTGGCAGCTGCTTCTTCCCAGGCCTGCAGACCCTGGCCTGAGCCCAAGAACCCCATGGGCACAGTTAGAAAAGCCCCTGTGCAAACTGATGGGAGAGGGAGCGAGTATGGTCCAAGGTCACACAGCAAGTCTGCAGCGCAGCAGAGCCAGGACTCAGCTCCAAGGCACCCGCCTCCCAGCTCCTCCCCCTGCGCAGCGCAGGAGAGCGCTGTACCCAAACATTATGTAACCCATTGTTCATCCCCGAGGGGCGGGCACAGCCCGGGCTGGAGCACCAGACCTCTCGTTCACCCGACGCCTCAGAGGTGCGGGCCGTGTTGGGGGCTGGCAGAGCGGCCACCCCAAAACAGCACACCCAGTCATGGGGGGCCGAGGGAGCTGCCACCTCGAGACACAAACAGCGCCAGGGCACCTCCTCCCGGTGACTGGGTGACCAGACTGCCCGCTCCCGGCCAGGGCAGGTCCCAGGCCACCGGTCTCCACCCTGTGGCCCACACCTGCCAGGTGCCCAGCGGGGTCCCACAGGGCAGACCCTGCAGTGCCCGGGTCTTCCCCCACCCCACATGGCACATCTGGGGACATCCGTGGGTTATAAGGTGACTAGCAGTGTGCCCGGCCTCCACCTGACAGACCCAGAAGGAGGCCCACGACGCTGCCTCAGAGATGGGGAAACAGAGGCCCCTCCTGGCCCAGGGCCTCCCTGTGGCTGTTCCCTCTGCTCTGCTTGGCCCTCACCTGCAGACCACTGTGTCTCCCAGACGGGGTCCCGCACACGAGGGCCACTGTCAGCACCCTGTACCAGGGCGGGGTCTGGCTGGCTCCTCTCACACTGTGCTGAGGCCGACTTGTGTCCCCGGGCCACTGCCTGGGCCACGGAGGCAGGCACGGTCCAGTTCCGCTACAGCACGGGAGTCCTCGGCCATGTGACACAGTCACGTGGCTGGAAGTGGACGCAGGGAGTGGGCTGGGGTTTCACTGTGCACCCTGCTGGCTCAGGTGGGGCTGGGAGAGGGGCAGAGAGGACACAGGGGCAGCCTGGTTCCACAGCGCAGCCAGGTCAGGGTTCAGGTTGAGATCTCAGCCCAGCCCCAGGATCTCCAGGCCCCAACTGCAGGTCGGGCCTCAAGTGCAGCACGGGAGGGAGTGGCCGGAGGGGTCTCCTCCTTACGATCACCATAACGCCCCTGCCACCACTCCCGGGAGACCCCTGGGAAGGGGAGGAGCCCAGGACCCCTCCTCGAGGGGCTCCAGAGCAGCTGCGGCGTGGGTATGGCAGGCCGCTCCTGCAGACAGAAAGGGTGCAAGAGGAGACCCAGAGCTGACGGCAACAGGCTTACACTTCTTTGCAAGGGGAGGGTGGGGGGCGAGAAATCTGTCACTGCACAAAAACCCCAAGGGCTGGCTGCCTTCTGCGAATCCCGCCGCCCCCAGCCCCAGCAAGGCCAGCCCAGCCAGCCAACCGCCTGCACGTCCCCAGCGAGACCCTGCAACCTTCTCGGCTCCGTCCCTGACGCCCCGGCAGCGGGCACCGGCCTGGCACACAGCAGGTGCTCAGCAAGGATGGAATAGGAGGCTGCAGGTGCGTGCTCGGGACACCAGGGTCCTGTTTCTGCACGGCTCTCGTTCTCCTGGGCCCTGTGACACTGCCTCGCACACAAGCCCCAGCCTGCTGGGCCGTGGGAGCACGGGGCTAGGCAGGAGACCAGGCCCTGTTCTCCTTGTCTCCCGCAGCTAGGACAGTGCGGTAGCTGCCTGCGTCCTTCGGCGCCAGTGCCAGAGGCGGAACAGGGGGCTGCGGGGGAACAAACCAGGGCCCTAGGTTGCCAGGAGCCTGCAGGCACAGCCAGGAGGGGCGCGGCGGAGAGCAAGCGCTCCCCGTGTCTCTTCCCGACCCCCTCCCAGAACCCCGCAGGCCTCCTCCTGATACCCCACAGCTTCAGAGTCCTGGGTTCCCCTGGGCCAGAAGCCAACATGGAGCCCAAGAACCAGAGAGGAGGAGGAGGAGGAGGGAGGAGCCGGACGCAGACCACGTACCCACACACAGCCTGTGGTCTGGGAGAGCACTGCGCCCCTCTCAGCCTCTGTTTCGCCATCTGTAAGATGGGGCCATTCCTGGGGCTCAGGGCAGGGCACCGCCCTACACTTGATCTTAGCCAAAAGGCCAAGACGTGACAGGGCACTGCTCTAAGGACCAGCGTAGCCCCCCACAGGGGCCGGGGGACACTGGGGAGGCAGCCTCATCGCCCTCCCTTGCGTGGGGCAGACGCCTCCAGGATCCCTTCTGCTTCCACCCACTGCTTGTCTTATTCCGCTGGGATGCTTGGTTATTATCCAAGGAATTTGGAAAACAGAAAATAAAAGAGGACAAAGAGCACCCGTAATCGACAGTCCCACCACCCAAACCACTGGGGGCCACAAAGGGGCTCCCTGGAGGCCCACAGCTGACCCCGATGCTCCTGTTTCCCTTGCCCTCCCCTGACGCCTCAGCTGCCCGGTGGCCTGGGTTCCAGAACCGCAACTTTTCCAAGGGAGAGGCTGACGTCGTGGATGTTGAGAATGGCAAGTGCTGTCTGGTTTGTCACAAGGGCAAGGGGCAAAGGGGACAGTGGCCTGAGGACCCAGTCTCTAGCCCCACAGGCCTGTGCTACAGTCCCAGGTCATGGGGTGAGGCTAAGGCCAGTTGAGGGTCCATGACTGGGTTCGCTTGGTGTGGCAGCAGCTGACCAGGGTGCTGGGAGAGACGGATTCACAGCATCGTGATCTGTGATCCATTGCTGATGTCTGGCAGGGGCACAGGAGGGGACAGAGGGGGCAAGAAGGCCACTGTTCGACCGCCTGGGTCAATGATGGGTGCGGCCTGTCCAGAGGTTGGGGGTGGGACGGCCTGGGGGCCACCTGTCTCCAACCTTGACAGCACCACCAGAGGCACCAAAGGGTGCTCAGTGAGTCCACAGGACTTCCTGCCGAAGAAAGGGCCACTTATTTCCTTTCTAGCATCTTTAGGGAAAAAGCCACTGCAGCGGAGAGCGGGTGTCGTGGGGCTGGGGTCCCAGCCTGCCATGGAAACCCAAATGCCCGCCCGTCCTGGACTCAGGTTTCCTTCTCTCCATGGTGCTGTCCTGGTTGGCAACATGTAGCTCTGGGGCTGCGTTCGGTTCCTGCTGGGTCCCAGTGTCCGGGGCAGCACCTGGCACAGAGCGTGTGTTTCATAGTGGCCCAGGCCCCGTTTCCCACCTACCCAGCAAGGCGGGGCTCCTCAGCCTCAGGGCCGCTCCAAAGGGTGCAGATGAGGAGCTGAGGGCAGTTCGTCACCCAGCACCACCAGAGAGCACACTGGGGGCTCCGCACACTGCTGCAGCCCTCACCGTCCAGGTGGGGAAACCAAGGCCCCAAGCCGGTCACCGTCCCACATCACTCAACAGCGCCAGGAGGGCCTCTGCGTCCCCAGCCACGGGGACAGTGCCCTTTTTTAGGGGGCCTAGGGATACGTTATGGTTCAGATCTAGAATGGCCCCCCACCCCCGAAGGCTCGTATGGTCAGAGGCAGGGCTTTGGAAGGGAACTCAGATCTGTTAGGAGGCGGAGCCTGGGCGGAGTGGTCACCGGGCCATGACCTGGAAGGACCCGTTCTGGTCCCTGGCTCCTCCCGTCTCTCCCTCTCCCTCCCTCTCTCTCTCTCTCTGTCTCTCTCCTTCCTGGTCACCATGACATGAGCAGGTTTCCTCCACCAAGCCCTTCTACCGTGCTTCTCTGCCTTTCAGCCAGCTGGCCATTGACTGAATACCCTAAAACCGTGAACCACATTAAACTTCTCCTTTAAATTATGGGGCCAAAGTGGAGAGGAGACAGCCCGCCCCCATTTTGTTTTATTTTTGGAGACAAAGTCTTGCTACATAGACCAGGCTGGCCTTGAACTCACTATGTAGCTCAGGCTGGCCTTGAACTCTTGATGATCTTCCTGCCTCTGCCTCCCGAGTGCTGGGCGCTCATGTCTGTCTGTTAATGGCCTCCCAACGACACTGGCCCCTGCCCTGACGTGTCCCGCCTCCTTGGGCTGCTTGGCCTGCTCACAGCTCCAGGAAGCCTCTGCTACATCTTTCATCTGTTGCTCAAACATCCACACTGAGGAAAGAGTCCAGGTCAGGGGTCTGCCCACCTCATTTGACCCCAGTCCCAGATGTGGGGCGGGGAGAGGCCACGTTCACCCCAGGTTGGCTCCTGGAGTCACCCAGAAGATAAGTACTGAGGATAGCTTAGCCCTGGGAACACAACACAGGCCCCAGAGCCACGGGAAGGCTGAGAAGGACCAGAGTGTCCCAGGCTGTCAAGGGGAAGCTGAGGTTGGGGGGTGAGAGAGGCCTCACAGGGCTCCCCAACTGCCCCAGTCACAGTGACACACAAGCCAGCCACCCATCCCTGAGCCAGGACAGGCATCACTAATCCATCCCAGAGCTCAGTCTGCAACCTCGGAACGCTTCCTAACAGCTGCTGTGGAGGAGCACAGCTGGCACTCAGCAGAGACCCACCCGCCAGCCTCAGTCCAGTCCGAGCCACGGTTTCACAAAAGAGACAACTGAGGCAGGAAGGGAAAGAGGATTTTTAAAGACACAAGAAGAACCGCCCCCACCCTGCAATCAGTTCCACCAAAAGCAGAGGCTGAGGTACAGTTTGGTCCTTCAGGGACACCCGGCCACCCCACCCCACCTCCAGCACAGACCCCCACCAGCCTCAGCACGGGGACCATGGCTACTCACCACTGCTGCACCTCCTTCTCCGTAACTGCAAGAGAAAACACAAGAGTGGCCTTTAGCTCGGGACGTGGCCCTGGTGTCCCCTTCTGCCCTCCCGCCCCGCAGCCCCTGTGTCCCCTCTGGGTCCCCTGGGACCCTCGGCTGTCACTGCCTGCCAGCAGGCTCCAGACTAGGCCAGCGCTCTGCGCAGAGGCCCCTGCCTCCCCTCCCCAGCACTTCCAGGCCCGGCCTGGAAGCGACCACGCTGCACGGAGCAACCGCGCTGTGCGAAACACAAACCGACATCTACTCTGAAAGCAGTGAGTCGGGCAAGGTCGGAAACAGACCAGGGTCCTCTCCAAGTCACCAAAGGAGACACCACACCACCCCCAGGGCCACCCTCTCCCCTCTGTGCGACCAAGGGGAGCCCCTGAGCTCCCTCAGTTCCTCTGTTTGTAAAGCAGGCAGAATAGTGCCTGCCACACGGAGCCAGGATTCAATCCCAATGGGCACGGAAGCTCCTGGGTCCCCAGTGTGGGGGTGGCCAGGCACATGGGGGGTGAGGGGGTCCACACAGGCGTGCGGGGTGAATGACGCACGGGGGACGAGCGAGTGAGTGAAGGGGGACAGGACGGTGGCGCCGCAGGTGGTCTGAGGGGCAAAGGAGCCCGAGTCTGCTGCCTGGGGGGAGCCCGGGGTCTCTGCAGCTCCAGGGAGGCCACGCTGCAGACCCCTGCACAGCTGCAGACACCCAGCACCCAGACAGCCGGGCCTGATTCCCACAGCAGCATGGACAGGAGGACACCACTCCCTCTCTGGACCTCGGGTTCCTTGTCTGTACAGCGGGCTGTGCTCACTGCTCTGCACCTGCAGGAGAACCCTACAGGCAGGTGGGGTCCATCACCCCAGGGAGGAGACTGAGGCTTAGACGGCACCGACGGTCCCTCGACAGCCGCTCCCCTCCCCACAGAGTCAGCCAATGAGCCGCAGACCTTGTGTGCTGACCTGACCCTGGCGGCGATGTCTCCACCACTAGGCCCCCAGCAGCCAGGGGAGGCAGAAGGGGCGGACGCGGCTGGCTGTCCCCAACCCCGAACCTGGGAGGCAGCCCCTGGCCTCTCTGTCACGGCCATTTCCCCTCCCCACGGCACTGTCCCAACGCCCAGAGAGCCCTTTTCTTGACGTCCCCTCACTCTGTTCTCGTGGATTTGCCTACCCGGCTTCAGTCGGAGCAGAAAGGCCAGCACACGGCTAGTGACTTACGCCCGTGGGTTTTTCCTAATATACAATAAAGACAAAGCGGGCTTGGTGGGACACACGGGTCATCCCAGCACTCGGGAGGCCGAGGCAGGAAGATCCCCACGAATTCGAGGCCAGTGTGGGCTCCGTAGTAAATTCAAGGCCAGCCTGAACTACCCAGCAAGACTTTGTGTCAAAAACCAAAACAAACAAACAAAAAGACATAACTATTAAAATAAAAGGTGACTGTCGTTGGTCCAAGCCGGCCTCTGCAGCCATAAAACAGTGAAAAGCTACACTGTCCCTACGTGGCCACCGTGGGGAGGGACACGCCATCCATGCAGAAAGGCCCTGCCCTGAGTCCGGAGCACCCAGCGCGAGGGGCAATCACACCAGCCAACAGCCGGGTGCCTCCAGAAGCCAGCGGCCGGGTCGGACTTATGTTCCAGAGAAAGCAAAGAGCCGGGGACCCCAAACAGAACTCAGGGCCCGTGGGCGGGGTGGGGCAGCCCCGGGGTCCGGTGGGACTGCCCAGGGCGCTGTGGC